AGGTTGATTTGGAGAAGTGAACTGGACTAATAAAGACAAGTGTTGTATGGGAATGTAGGAAGATCCAGTGTGTGGGAGGCAAGGATGATTGTAGGCTGGGTGAGCGCCATTTGTTTGGTAATTCAGTTCATCTAGCCCATGAAGAAGCAGCCAGTTTCTGATGGCATCTGAGTTGCAGGCACCACGCGGTGGCAGACTTTGTGAACACAATCAAGCAGAACCTGCACTCTTCTCTTTAAAAAAAATTGTTATTATAAAGATGATCTACCGAGGGTTTACAGTTATGTAAGTCAGGTAATGAATATACTACTTTTTGGACAGTGTCACCTTTTCTCTTGCAGTGAGTATACTCTTAAAAGAAGTTCATAGTCCGGTAGGTGAGACACCAGGAGGCCATCTAACTGGTGATGAGACAGAGACTTGGAGAAGGATTTCCAGAGACTGTGAGTCTAAGTCTAGTTCAGAGCGGTGTTTGGGAGAGGCCAAGACAGGTAATCTATTATTAGAGTGCTAAAATGAGTTAGAGTTAGATCACAAAGAGACAAAGAAGTTAGAGAGGTAGTGGTCTGACCTGGGACGATGGCTCCAGAGGCCAAGAATATGGCTAAGGTTCAGTAGATAATGGACAGAACTAGGTAATGGGGTGTTGCATAGGGGAATGGTGATAAGGCTGTTTGATAGAGTGTGTGACATGGGCCTTAAAGTCACCTTGACATGTAATAGGCTCTAGAGGTGATGAGGTCATGAACAGAAGCCAGAATCTCCACTGGATGTTGGGGTCAGCGCAGGATTGGTCAGTGGGATGTGGAGGGAAGAGGGTATTAGGGTCTTCTTTCTTCCTTTCCATTTTTGAAATGTTTGGAAGTTTGCCAACATCTTTAAATCTACAAGGAATACGTACACATACGTACACCAAAAAGGGTAGTTTCAACATTGTATAACGACCTGTCATGGAGATTATATTGCCTTAGCTATTTTTAGGAACTAGGATGAGTTTTGTTCCCTGGCTAAAATTCTAGCTAGTATCTTTGTTTTAAAGACTAGATTATAGTAAAGAAAAGCATCTTTTTCTTTTTCTTTTGGTATTTAAAGAACAAACTAGGAAATTATGTATGCAGTTTGCATTCTGAAATAGATGGCCTTCACTTTAATCATGATGATGTATAGTTATCTGTTTTAAACTTCTGTTTTAAAATGACTATTTAAGCTATTGGCTACCACCACTGACAGTGGGAGGTTGAATGTCACTAGCAGACAGTCTGGGTCCAGCAAAAGCTAGACACTCATGGCTTGGCAAGGTTCTGAGAGTGAGTGAACCTGGATATTGTGATACTGGAATGGCTTTGTAGGTCAGAGTCTGTCATTTACTGTTCTTGATTAGAAGCCATTGTATCACTTAAGACTCAAGAATAGAGAGAATGTTAGCTGACCCATATTGTATCTGTATTCTGTCACTCAGTTTTAGAAATACAATGTAAAAGTCAAAGAACAAAGTTCGGTTTCCTACTATAAGAAGCACATTATGTAGTCTTATTTCATGTAAGTAAGTGTAAGACAAGTATATGACTGCATCATACTGAATACAGTGTCAGAGCTATGCTTCTCGCATTTCACTATTCATTCAGTAGGACTTGCAATCTCTCATTTCTAACCTTCTACCTGCACCCCATGGCTGCTGATGCTGCTGGCTCCTCAAGGCACATTTTGAGTAGGTGGAGTCTGAGCTAGGGGTTCCTATCTGTGCGACTTACTTTTCTTGTCACTGTGACAGAATACCTGGCATGAATAACTTAAGGGACGAAGGATTTTAGTGGACTGTTTCAGAGGTTTCAGTCCATCATGGCAGGGATGTGTAGTAGGATAGAATGATTGCTTGTACGAGCTTCTTTTCCCCTTTCATCCCATCCTGGCCCCAGGATATGCGAGAGAGTGCTGTTCAGGGCAGGTCTTCTCCATCTTGGAAAGAATCTCACTGGTACCCTAGAGGTGAGCTTTCCTAGTCTCATAGGCACTTGTAAATTCAGTCAAAGTGGTAAGCAAAATTAGCCATCACATTATATCTTTTGATTGTATTAGGTTTCTAATGGCGAAAATGCTCTCAGAATAATGAACAGTGGGCTCTCAGGATAGTGAATCTGCCACCTGCTCCCTGTGCCTTCCACATTGCTCTCTAGTGCACAGAATTTCAGGGAGCTTGTGAAGCCTTTGCTCCTCCCTCTTGTGAAAGTGGTTAATAAAAAAAAAGATGCTTCTATTATATAACAGTCTTTGTAGTGTTTTTATAGAGTAGATAGATGTTGACTTAACTGGAAAGCAGTGTTGAGATGACTAATGAGTCTGAATAAGTGATCATATAGAAGGTTCTTTGGGCTGAGCTGTGACAAGGGGACTAGGATAGGATGTTAGGCTTGCAGAAGGCGTGGTGGTCATGTGTGAGACACACTGCTGTTTCACAGGCAAGAATTGATAAGAATTGTGAGAGTGGACGTGTTTTGTTTCTGCAAGGCCCAGATGGCTGGATAGTTTTGTTGTCTCCAGAGGTATGTTAGTAATAGTGATTTTGATATTAAAAATTTGGACACACTAGGTTAGGGAATGAATGAGAAACAACCCATGGTGGAAATGACGTGAAACCACATGAGGTGGTGATGGTATAGATGATGCCAGTGGGCACATTTTAGGTAGTTGCCAAAGGACGTGTGTGTGTGTGTGTGTGTGTGTGTGTGTGTGTGTGTGTGTGTGTGTGTGTGTGATTTACACCTTCCTCGTCATCAGGACTCTCAGAGAGGACAGCACAAGAGAGAGCCAGCAGAAAAGATGTATAGTATTTTGTAATCAGCCCTGGAAGTGACAAATCCTCTCTTGGGAGTGTTTATGTCCTGGTCATTGGTCATCCCACATTCAAGGGGAGGGGATTACACTGGTGTTTATATGGGGGCTGGCACTTACCATCTTCTATGGCAGTCCTGCTTTCTTGTATAGCAAGTTTCAGGTATTTGTACTGAGCTGTTTCTGCAAGGAGCCCTGACTTTAGTAGGAAAGTGTGGACATACATTGAGCAGAAGATTCTAGGTCTTTTCAGTGAACAAAGCTAGGAAGGTTGAGTTTTTGCTACCTACAGTGCTTGGGATCACAGTGTTTGCTTTGCTTCAGGGTTCACATCTGTTTTGGAATATTTGCATATACAAACTGAGCTGTCTTGAGGATGAGACCCAACGGTTATCATGAAATTCATTTATGCATATATGCATATTCATATATGCATATATATGTACATGATTCAAATGGTAGAGCACTAGCCATGAGCATACAAGTTAAGGGGCAATGCTCAGCCCTGAGTTCCATCCAGGCCTAGGACTGGCACAAGAAAACAAAAATTTAATTTTATTTCTCTACACATGATTTATAAATCATCATGATCTTAATACAAATAAAGTTGTATTTAAATAAACGTTGCATCAGTCAATGCCTCTCCCTATTTTCTTCTTTCTCCCTGGGTAGTCTTTTGAAGGATACTTAGCTTAGACCTTTTGTTTTTACAGAGAGGAGATAACTCTTTGATTTAGGGTGAGGTCAGGTTCCAGTAACCTTTCTGACCATTCAAAGTATCCTAAGTTGAAAGTACATGGAATGCTGCCCATTGTGGCTTAGCAGACAGTACTCTGTGCTGTGGAGTGTGGCTTTTGACACTTGTGGTAATGTGGCCATCTTGGAGCCATACTTAGCTGTCATTGCTTGGGATCACCAGAGAGGACTGGACTGAGAATAACTGGGCTGGGACAAGATCACATTCATAATTCAAACTATGCTTTCTGCTCAGTGTCTATCATGGACTGGCACTGACTGCTTCTCTGCTTTGCTCCATCTTTCACTCTACCTAACTAACCACATATCCTGGCCACTACAGCATAGCCATTTATGGTCTTCCTCATTCCTTTATCATTGGCTTGAGACTGTCCTATATGTACATAGACCTTTATGCTCTTAGAGAGTTCTTTCTATTTCTATTCCCGCTGCTTTGAGTGAAATGCTGTCTCTAGTGGATGTAACCACAGGGTGAGAGGTTGTGCAGAAGCTATCTGGTTGGTCTTGCCAGGGATGACGTCCTTTCTTCTGTACCCAAGAATGCGGGCTGCTTTGTCACAAGGCCTAGTCCTTCATGGCTTCTGTCATTTCCTCTCCTTACCTGGCTCATAGCTAGAAATCTCTTCAATTTTGACAACACATCATTTGTCAATCATATATATATATCTATATCTATATGTATATATCTATATCTATAATCGGCCATGGGGCTTGAACTCAGGGCGTGCATGCTGTCCCTGAGCTCCTTTGCTCAAGGTTAGAACTCTACCACTTTGAGCTACAGTGCCACTTCCGGTTTTCTAATGGTTCATTGGAGATAAGAGTCTCACAGACTTTCTTGCCTCAGCTGGGTTTGAACTGTAATCCTCATATCTCAGTCTTCTGAGTAGCTAGGATTACAGGTGTGAGTCACCAGCACCTGGCTCAATCATAGTTTTTAATAATGACTTTTCCTTTTTTTGTGGGTTGTGGGGCTTGAACTCTGAGTTTGAGTACTGTCCCTCAGTTTTTCAGCTCAAGGCTAGCACTCTGCTACTTGAGCCACAGTGTCACTTCTGGTTTTTTGGTGGTTTATTAGAGTTAAGAGTCTTACCGACTTTCCTCCCCAGGCTGGCTTTGAACTGTGATCCTCAGATGTCAGCCTCTGATAGGGTGAACCATTGGTGCCTGGCTTAATGTTGAATTTTGTGTGTGTGTGTGTGTGTGTGTGTGTGTGTAGCTGTGTGTGTGTGTATGTGTGTGTGTGTGTGTCTGTGTATGTCTACATGCTTCTGTGTGTTAGTAAAAATTTGGGAGCAAAGTCATCAGAGCTTACTCTTCAGATTTCTTTTGAAACAAAGCCACATATGTGAAAAGTAAGCAAAATGTGTATGTGTGTTTTAAATAATCTTTTTCTTCTATTACCTGTTCTGCAGGGAAAAGGACTTGGAGGCCAAGTTCATTATACAAATGGAGAAAAGCAAAACAACAATCACAAACTTAAAGGCAAGTATCAAACTAGCCCTGCTCCGGTTCCATGAGCTCTACCATTGGGTTAAAGGGCAGATAAATGAAAGAATGGAATGTGCCTGCCTGCCATTTCTGCATCCCTTCTTCTGCATTCAGTTAACCACGCCTGCCTCTTGGCTGAGATTTTTTCTTAAGGCAGAAGATCTGGTGCCTGTTTCTGCTCTCCTTTCTGATCTCATATGAATTGGGAGCTAGATACATTTGTTATTCTGGTCTTTGAGCTCCTGAGTCAGAATCAGTCCCAGGCATTTTTATCCTGTCTTTGTAGCAGTCTTAGCTGGAAATGGACTATTCTATGAAGCACTGGGGACACTTTGCTCCCAGGTTTGTTCCATTTTTAATGGAAATTCTGATGTTTTATAACACTTGAAGATTTGATAACTATTATTTAAAATTCAGGAGGTAAAAGATTTAAAGGGAATCTCAATTACTTTCTGGAAAAGAAGGAAAATTATTTTTTTTAAAGGCAACTTCTTCCTTTTTCATTTAAAATATCCTATTTGTTTGTCCTTTAACATTTATTAAGGACCCAGAATGAATTTCGCTTGGGGAGAAAACAAAGATGAAATTAATAGTAAGGAAATCATGTACTTTATGGGTTTAGCTCCTTTCTGTTTAGATAGCTGGCAAGTTTGTGTTTGTGAGGTCTGTTGCTCCATGGCTAGGTAGATTCAGTCTGAGGAATGGGTTTCTGTTAATTGCTGGCTCACAGCTTGGATATTATTGGATCCTTTTTCAGAGTATTGTGACTTGATCTACAGTGATAAATGTGAGGATGCGCCTATCTTCCCGCTGGGCAGAACTGTGGATAATTCTGTATGCCTCCTTGCTGGCTCTGATGGAAGCATTTTCATAAAGATTAGAATGTCTGTCTCTCTCTCTGTTTCTCCCTCCCTCCCTCCTTTCTTTCTCTCTTTCTCCTTCCCTTCTTTCTTTCTCTCTCCCTTCCCTTCCCTCCCTTCCCTTCCCTCCCTTCTCCCCCTTCCCTCCCTTCCCTCCCTCCCTCGCTCGCTTCCTTCCTTCCTTCCTTCCTTCCTTCCTTCCTTCCTTCCTTCCTTCCTTCCTTCCTTCCTTCCTTCCTTCCTTCTATCACATAAGCAACAGCTCTAGACCACCTTGAGCTCTAGCCCTCTGGAGCCCTTCCACCTTGACTTCCTTCATGCTCTCAGGTTCCCACCAGTTCTCATTGGCCATTCCTTGCTGTCAGTTACCTTCCTTTTGCTTCATGTATCTTTGTTCTTTGTTCTTGGGGAACAGACGCCTGGTCTGGATGAATCTCCTTTTTTTGTGCACTGGGCGGGAGGGGGTGGTATTCTGACATTTTCTTTTCTTTAGTAGGTAGATTAAATGCCAGATTTTTACTGTTTTGATATGTTGTTAAATTTTTTAAATGTTTTAACAATTGTTTCTTTTTCTTCTTCTTCTTTTTTTTTTGGTCCAGTCGTGGGGCCTGAACTCTGGGCCTGGGTGCTGTCCCTCAGCTCTTCAGTTCAAGGCTAGTGCTCTACCACTTGAGCCACAGCGCCACTTCCGGCTTTTTTCAAAAATTTTTGTTTATGTGGTGCTGAGGAATCGAACCCAGGGCCTCATGCATGCAAGGCAAGCACTCTACCACTGAGCCACCTTTCCAGCCCCCAATTGTTTCTTTTTGATAGATTAATAGTACTGAAATATGTGTTACACCGTGATACTGTTTAGCATATGTATTTTAGCATATATCTAATGAGCTGTGAAATTTTAGAGACACATGATTTTTTTTTTTTTCGTAGGACTGCACAGGACCTTGAGATTGTTAGCAGATGGTTTACCACTTGAACCATATCTCCAGGTCTTTTAGCTTTGGTTGTTGTTGCTTTTTGTTTAGTTTTTTTTTTTTTTTGATAGAGACTTGTGTTTTTTTCTGAGGTCAGTCTTAGCCTATAATCCTTCTCTAAATCACTAGTAATTATGACAGCAGGTGTGTACCCCCATGGCCACCTAGTTTGTTTGTTGAGTTGGGGTCTTGCTAAGCTTTTGCCTGATTTGGCCTCAAAATTCTATCCTACTAATTGCTGCCTTTTTGGTAGCTGGAATTACAAATATGTGCCACCTTTCCCGCCTTCATATAAAGATTTTTTTTCTTCCCCTGGGTACTGGGGCTTGAACTGAGGGCTTCCAGCTTGCTTGGCTTGTTTATAGCTGGTGCTCTGCCACTTGAGCCACACCTCTAACTCTGCTTATTGTTGGTTAATTAGAGATGGAATCTCATACTAATTTGCCTGTTCTGGCTTTGAACTGTGATTCTCTAGTTCTTGGCCTCCTAAATAGCTAGGACTACAAGGGTGAACCACCAAGGCCAGTACCATTTAAAATATTGAAATACGGTTTTTAGATTAGTTTTAACACATAGGTAAGGCATAGGCAAACAGCTGTAACAAACTTACATTAGGATAAGTTTTGACTCTCAGATGAGGAAAATTACTTGTGATGAAGTGTAGCTGGAAAGCTTCATAGAAGAGGAGTTTTAAAGTATCTGTTGGGCACCAAGTCACACACTGTAGCAGTGCCCATGATTGTATTTGTGACCAACAACACCAGAGTTCTGAATTGTTCAGTGTGGTGGGTCTAACTGGAGAGTGCAGTAGAAATTATTGAAGATGGGGGAAATAGAGACTGACTAGGGTATTCGGTTCACATAAGTTAATCAAAATAAAATCAACAACAGTAGAGAACTTGGGTTGGTGTGCGTTTAGATTGCATTTAAGTTGTATCTATTTTTGTAGAGAGGCCGATAGGAACTAAATGCTTCTCAGTCAGGGTGTAAGTATAAAAAACTGGTAATTATTAAGGAATAGACATTTTGCTTTCTTGTCTTTTCTCCAATTGCAGTACCTTTTATATTATTATTTATTTTATTTTTCTTTATTTATTTTTATACAGTACTACTGTAACTACCAACATACTCATCTTGTTCTAGATACCAGAAGGAGGAACTGGGGACACAGGAAGAGAACGGACCAAGACTTTCACCTATGACTTTTCTTTTTATTCTGCTGATACGAAGAGTCCAGATTATATCTCACAAGAAATGGTATGATGTGGTATTTTCACAGTCTTTCTTTTCTTTTCTTTTTTCTTTTTTGGTCCAGTCGTGGGATTCTGAACTCTGGGCCTGGGCGCTGTCCCTCAGCCCTTCAGCTCGAGGCTAGTGCGCTACCACTTGAGCTATAACACCACTTCCGGCTTTTTTTTTTCTGCTTATGTGGTACTGAGGAATCAAACCCAGGGCCTCATGCATGCAAGGCAAGAGCTCTACCACTGAGCCACCTTCCCAGCCCACAGTGTTTCTTTTCTTATCAAGAAAACTTACCTTCCCTAAAACACCTGAAAATACTATGCTAGTGTTTTTTCTGAGTATAATTTATATAGGTTTATATTTGGCCAACTGGTCTTTGATTGTACCATAAGACCTTTTACATAACCTGGCAAAGATTCATTCCTCACATGTTGGTTTATTTGTTTTTTCACTTTGAATATTATAATCACATTATTTAATTGGTTTCAAAAGTTGGATATGGTTAATGTCTGGATGGAGCTCTACGAATAAAACACTTGGAGTGATGTTTATGTTTGTACCTGATGAAGAGGCCTCTTCCTTGGAGTCCTGCTATGGTACAGAGCTTAACAAGTAAATTTTAAATCCAAGTCTTATCTATTCTGCTTATGTAGATCATTGTAAGTTTTGTGGATTGTGGAAGAAAGGATTCCAGAAAGAAAGAATAGTTCCTCTAGAATCTTTCTGGAACTTGGAACTGTGCTGTGACTTGTCCAAAAAAAAAAGAAAAGAAAAGAAAAAAAAGGCTTGGTAGGCTTTTGGTAGGGTTAAATTGTAGATATAAAGTAGGCAGATGAGAATAGACACAGCAGTACTCCCAGGAGATCATCAAGACACTGAAGATGACATTTCCTGTGAGCATAAGTTTATTTCCCTAGAGAGGGAAATGCTGAGTGCTTGAGCAGAGAAGGAGGGTGTTAGCATGTAGGTATCATTGCTGGGCCTCTCTCTGGCTTGTCAACAACTTCTTAGGTCTTGTGCATGTGCTCACACGTGGGTTGAAATTCCTGCCCTGCTTGTCTTGGGTTGAAATCCATCCAGGGGATTTCATCTTGCAGTGTAGAGCCTGATGAAAGTACTTAGTGATTTAGAACTTGAAGTGCGTCCCTGTACCCATGGCATTGCCTGGAAACTACAGAATCTGTAGGTTCTTGTACCCCTCCCTCTCCTTGTTTAGCTTTTCTGCTTAAGGCTCTACCACTTTAGCCATACCTAGACTTTTGGCCTTTTGCTGCTAATTGGTTAATTTTCTACATAGGCTGGCTTTGTACCATGATCTCCACATCTCAGCCTCATGAGAGTAGCTAGGATCGCAGGTGTGAGCCAACAGCACCTTATTTTTTTTTTCTCTAAAGCAAGAGCCCCAGAAGTTTGCATATAACTTTATACGTTTAGGAATGCATTTGGTTTAAAAGTAGAATTGGCTAAGAGAAGATTGTCTTTTTTTTAATTTAATTTTGTTTTATTTGTGAACATACTGTACAGAGGGGTTACAATTGCATGGGCAGGATAATGTGTACATTTCTTACCAAGCATTGCATCCTCCTCCTTTGTTTACCCTTCACATCCCTTCCCAGCCTTCCCCCTCCCCCCCAATCCCAATCCTTCTCCTTCCCCCCCTTCCCCC